CTGCCCTCCGCGGCCTGCCCTCCGCGGCCTGCCCTCCGCGGCCTGCCCTCCGCGGCCTGCCCTCCGCGGCCTGCCCTCCGCGGCCTGCCCTCCGCAGCCTGCCCTCCGCCTCCTCTGGCCGGGCGCCTCCGGAGCGGGGGTTAGACCTCGTGCGCAGGTGGTTGTCCGCAGGCTAGATGACCCCTACGCTCCCTGCGAGTCACGTCTCTCTCTTCCTCAGGTGCAAAGAAATGGCTGGAGTGGAGGAAGGAGACTGAGCTGCTCGCCGATGTGGCCTACTTTGGCCTCACCACACTGGCAGGTAGCAGGCCCTGGAGGGACCCACGACCCCTCGGGCTCAGAGCGGAGGAGGGATCCGGGCCGGAGGCGCCGCCCAGAGCAGCTTCCTGCCTGCGGCCTCTGCTCGCGTCCCGCTTTGTGTTCTGGAAACCAAGGCATTTTGTTTCCAGGGCTCGGGCCTTCGTGCTACAAACGTGTCACAGTGCTTAGCTGTCCAGGCGTGCTGGCAGTGAGGCCCTGCCTGGGACAGTGCAGGTCCAAGGTTGATGGTTGTCCCTTAGGGAAGAGCTTCCAGGGACCCCGCAGGAGTGGGGTCCCAGCCCAGCACCCACTCTGGTTGGAAGCAGATGAGCACCAGGAGACTGATGCGCACTTCCGGAGCAAGGGCAGGTCTGGGGCCTGGGGAGCACTTCCAGACAGCAGGCAGCTGGGACTAAACCTCTGAAGGGAGACCCCCGGCAGCCTGGGAGGACCCAAGGGATCTGTGGGCCTTGTCACCCTTTGGCTTTCCTTGTAAAGGACAAGCTGTCATGAGGACATGGGCAGGGGTGAGGCCAGCAGCTGGCTGTGACCAGGCCAGCACGAGGTGGAGGCAAGCCAAAGGGGTTTGAGTGGTCTGCCACCAGTCGTGGTGAGACCCTTGGGAAGAGTGAGGAGCAAGGACCAGCATCACCTTCGACGGGGACAGGAAGCTGCCCTCTTGGGGGTGGGAGGCGGAAACCCTACTCTCGCAGGGTGATTTTTTTTTTTTTTTTTTTTTTTTTTTTTTTGGCGGAGCCAGGGATTGAACTCAGGTTCAGGGATTGAACTCAGGTCCTTGCGCTTGCCAGGCAAGTGCGTAATCCACTGAACTATCTCCCTGGCTCCTCAGGGTGAGTTTTGAAGTGTTTGTCTGAATCCCATGGCAATCTAGTCAGCAGCTGAGCTGGACAGACCTGGTCCACCTGGCCATGAATTGCGGCTGCAGCAGTGCATGTCGGAAGTGGGGAGCTAGGAGACGGAGCCATGGCTTGGGCAGGAGATAGGTAGAGGGAGGACAGGAAAAGAGAATGGAAAGCAGCACAGCTCCAGAGCAGCGGGAAAGGGCTGGGGAGCATTGGCCAGGTGCTGGGAACTGAGTGCAGCTGCAGGGCTGTGTGACCCTCTGCCATGGAGGCCATGACGACTTGGACCAGGTGGCAGATGGGACTGGCACCTGGCACAGAAGCTGAGGGAGGTGTGCTGGACCTGCAAGTCTGTCCACAAGGCAGGCCCTCACCTGTGCATGCCTGTCATCCTCCCAGGCTACCAGACGCTCGGGGAGGAGTATGTGGGCATCGTCCAGGTGGACCCCTCCAGGCAGCGCGTGCCCTCCAGGCTCCGCCGAAGCGTGCTGGTCGCACTCCATGCGGTCCTGCCCTACCTGCTGGACAAGGTCCTGTTGCCACTGGAACAGGAGCTGCAGGTCGATGGCGATGGAGCCCGGGCCTTGCAGAGCAGCCTGGTGCCCAGTGGGCGCAGCCGGTCAGGGGCACGGCGCTGGGTGCGTCGCCACGCAGCCACCCTGAACGAGCAGCAGAGGAAGATGCTGCAGCGGGCCATCTTCGTCCTCAGGCAGGGCCTCGCCTGCCTCCACCGGCTGCATATTGCCTGGTTTTACATCCATGGTGTCTTCTATCACCTGGCCAAGAGGCTTTCGGGGATCACTTACGTAAGTAGCTGTGCCACGGGCCAGTGCTGCGGCTGTCCCACTGCTGCTGCCTGGCCTGTGTCCCTCTGCACACTTGAAAAACTGTAGGTCCTTCCCAGGTTCATTTTGCCGGAGATCAGGTCAGGTCAGGCAGAGCCATCAGTGCTGGGCCACAGCAAGCTCTCCCTCCTGCAGACCTGCGGGGGGCAGGGTCACTGACCGGGGGCCCTAAGCGACAAGCACATGGCTGCAGGATTGCCATGTGGAGCTGGGGCTCTAGCCTGCACGCTGCCACCACATCAAGAAGCAGGGTCTTGGGCCAGGGATATTTTTCCAGCCATGGTGGAGGCCTCCTTGCCCCTGGCAGGCATCCCTGCTGGACCTCCCTGTTCCTCGTGGCCTAGCCACCTCCCTCCTCGGCACCCACATCTTTGCATCCAACTCCCCACAGATGCCCATGCTGCCCTGCTCACCCAGAGCCTGAGGCCCCGTCTGCCTTGCCCTCCCCACATGACCCTCCCCCACAGCCAGGTCACTTGCTTAGGAACTAGGTCAGGTGGCAGGCCTGGATGTGGCCAGACTTTCAGGGTATCTGAGGCCATCCTCCCCTTGCAAGAGCTGAGATTCACCAAGCAGCTCTTTTTCTGTAGAGAGTCACTGTCACCCTCATAGGAACTGGGGGCAAGTACAGGGTCCTGTCTGGAGCCCAGTGCGAATATGGGGGGATGGGGGTTGGACAACAGGCAGTCTCGGGGGACACAGCCATAGGTTGCTGGTGTCAGCCTTGGGAGACACTGGAGTGATGTCCCAAAGGGGCTGTGCGCCCTGCTAAGAGGACAGCACCCCTTTACCCCAGCATTCATGCTGGTGCTCCTCCCGGTGATGTCTGCAGTCCTCTGCAAGACGGGCCAGGTGATCCCGGAACCCTCACCCACTCAGCCTCGTGGCTGAGGCCTGTGCAGACACCTGGCAGTTGGCCTCAGTGGGGACCCTGGGGCCACGCAAACCCATGGGCTCACTAGTCTCATCCTTTGGATGTTCCTGGTACTGAGGAGGCAGTGTCGCCTCAGTCCTGACCCTGCTGGCCACCTGCCTCCACAGCTGCATACCCGCCACCCGCCTGGAGAGGACCGGAAGGCACGCGCCGGCTACCAGCTGCTCGGGCTGATCTCCCTGCTGCACCTGGCACTCTCCTTGGCACTGCAGCTGTACAGCTTCCGGCAGAGGCAGCGTGCCCGCAAGGAATGGCGGCTGCATCGCAACTTGCCTCACCGAAGGTGTGTGGTCTGGGGCACCCTCAGATGGTGAGCCCAGTGGGAGGTGCCCTCACCAGTGTCCTGTCCCCCTCAGGAGCTCCCTGGAAGACCGGGTGGCCTCCAAAGCCCCACTGTGCACCCTGTGCCTGGAGGAGCGCAGGCACTCAACAGCCACGCCGTGCGGCCACCTCTTCTGCTGGGAGTGCATCACTGAGTGGTGCAACACCAAGGTATGAGGCCAGGGGACCCCGGGCAGGGGGCAGCAACAGGGCACTCCTGGCTTCGGGGTGCCATCGAGGGGAGGTGGGCACCTTGCTGGAAGCACCAGGGCAAGCAGCACGAAGGGTGCACAGGAGTCCCTACACTTGGCAGCCCCGGGCTGTCCGCACACGTGGCACCAGACGTTCTTTCCCATAGGTCAGGGGCTGCAGAGGCAAGTGTGGCCTCTGGCTCCAGCCAGCCCGGCAGCAGGCGCTCGGGACAGTGTTCACTCCTGGCGGGCAGGGCAGTCGCGGGGCATGACTGTGGGGAGCACATGCTCCTTTGCGGGCACAGAGAAAGCCCTGTGTCTAGTAGGCAGACCCCACAGCTCCTCCATGGAGGGCCCTCGAGGGAGGTGCTCGGAGTGGCAGCTCTGGCCAATTCCTGTTCCACAAGGCCCAGGGTGCCCAGCACTGCTCGCGGGCTTGCTGGACAGAAAGGCCAGGCTAGGGTGCCAGAAACCTGCAGGGAAGGCCCTGCTGAGGCTGCCAGGCCCACCTGGCCCTGCGGCTCCCTGCACACTCAGCCCCTCTGGGAAAGGCTGTCTCCCACCGAGAGTACCAGGAATCTGCCTGCTGTGCTGTGAGGCACAAGCAGGTGACAGGCGGGAGTGGGTGGGTATGCAGGGCCCACCGGCAGGCTGCCTGGGACCATCCCTCTCCCCACAGATGGAGTGTCCCCTCTGCAGGGAAAAGTTCCCTCCCCAGAAGCTCGTCTACCTGCGGCACTACCGCTGAGCCACATCAGGAGGGCTCCGAGAAGTGGCTGAAGAAACGAGCCTGGAGAAAAGCTGTCCTCGAGCCTAACTAGCTGACAGAAACTATAAAACCCTCACACTGTCACAGGCCGCCGTGCCAGAGCCTTCAGAACTCCGTCTAGGAGAGGCCCAAGACCCTGCTGGGCAGGCGTGCGCTGCTCGGGGCCCACCCGTCCGAGCCACAAGCTGAGAGCACAGAAGTTACTGGAGATGAGCACACTCAGCAGGCGCAGACAGGGCCGAGTGCCCAGCCCGCGTGGTGACAGCCAGGAAGGACGCCTCTGGGCATCGGTGTACAGCCCAGCCAGGGCCCAGCACCTCTGAGATGTCCAGCACACACTGTTTGATATTATGTTCTCTGCTGCCTTTTTTAAGAAAGTGAGAGTTGTCTCCACTCTAAGCAGAGGCGCTTTCAGCTGGCAGGCACGGCCAACTCTACGTGCCCTTGGGTGGGCGGCAGCCAGCACTGCCTCGGCTGTCTTCAGCCTCTTTCCGCCGTGCTTAGTACTTACAGGTTTTTTGAATTAACAGTCAACATGCCGGTGACAGCTTGACCCTCACTAACTCACAGAAGGCTGGCCTGGAAGGGCTCCCGAGGACGGCCTCGAGGCTGTGCCACGCTCCCCACTGGCGTCGGGGCTTTGGTCTTCAAGGCCAGGAGAGCATGCTCTTGGGGTGCCAGAGGCCTCCCGGTCCCTGCGGGAAGGCAGTCCCCGCAGAGAGCCGGGGCTCCGCTCCACAAGCCACCCCTCGCTGCTCTGGCTCCCATCCCTTCCTGCCGGAGGCCAGGGAAATGAGGTCCAGAGCTCACCGATCCCCGCTCCCGCTCCACACGCTGACAGGTGGCGAGAATGTCCTGTGGCGTAGCAGAGCAGGATCCCACGGCCTAAAGAGGCTCTTGGAGGAGATCGGGTCCAAGTACACAAAACTCAGCAAAAAACGCAGATGACTGACACTCAACACAGGCAGGTCCCGTCCAAGTGGGCGCCTGACCTGGCCACGGGGATGTCCACAGCTGGGGGTGGCAGCACGCCGGCCACGTGGTTCACCACCCAGGGAGGCCAAGACGCTGGGCTTTGGGGCAGCGACCCATGTGGGAGATGAAGACTACACAAGCAAGGGGACATTGTCTTTAATAAAGTTGGAATTAAAAAGTCAATTAGTAAAATGTTTATCACATCAAAAAAGCGAACATGCAGTAGTAGGTCGTGTTCTCCCCCACAGGGAGAGAGAACCGGGTAAACCTGCAGCCTGGCCTGCGTGGACCAGGCTGATCTTACAGGGGCTGCTGCATGAGCACAGATTAAATTAATCAAAATCAAAACTGTAGGTATCAAAGAAATGTGTCAAAATAATCTCAAACAATTAAAATAGAATATATATATATTTATAATTCCAGGCCCTCAGAAGCAGGGTAGCTCAGAGCAGAGTCGTCATGGTGAAGGCCAACAGGAGCCACCTCCAGTGAGATGAACACCGGAGCTGGCATGAGAGCCGCAGGCCACGCGCTCTGCCTTCGCGGCCTCGGCCCCTCTCCACGCCAGCCGGGCCAGCTCTGCCGGCGGGAGGGCCTTGGGCAGCAGGACGGCGGCCGGGTTCCTGCCCTCCCGAGCCCCGAGCCCCGAGCCCCGGCCCCCGGGCCCGCCATTTACTCTAATTCCGTATGCTGGGAAACATGAAAATCGCTGAAGAGGAAATCGTAATTTGGTTTAAATGCCAGTTTCTTCAAGAACCTGATATTTCAGTTACAAATCATTGAGGCTTCTTTTTCAAAGAAAATCCGACTCCCTCATAATCAACTACTTTATGTGAAGAAAAGGCATGGTTACAATGGCTCAAACCGGTCTTGACCACGTGAGTGACTCAGTCCAGCTTCTAACTAGCAAACGTCTTGCCCGCGTCCTCCTTCCCTTTGTATCTCCTCTTCCCGTGTGTGAATGGTATGTACCGGTATTTAATCATGTGCTGGGAAAACAAACAGAACAAACTCCGTTACTTCCACGTTGCTCCTGGATACGAACAGCCGCGCACCGCCTCCATCTCTTCCACACATCACAGCCACCATCAGGATGTCGCTGGGGCTGAGCAGGGCGTGTGGCACACACCTGTAAGGCTGCGCAGAGGACCACTGAGTTCTAGGCCAGCCCGAATGGGCGACATATCCCCAAGCTCCCAACCAATACAGCAGCCCTGGGATCTGCCAGGCCCTGGGATCCTGGCGACTCAGGAGGCGTTGTGTAGTGTCGCGCAGGAATGCCCGGGAGGGCAGAGGCCAGCCGGAGGGAGGGTGCAGAGCTGAACTCCGCAGACCTGGCCGAGCTCTCAGCAGACAGGACAGGCCCTGAGCTCAGGCGGGCAGGGCACGAGGCGCGGTGGCCCTGTTCCCCTCCCGCCCCCGCCCCGCC